TTTCCAATGCAGCGGTGAATCGTTTTGAAGATATAACTGCACCCTGTCTGCAGTTACTCTGTAGGTTTGGTACTCTGGTTTTATACTTGAATAGCCATCGTACGCTACTGTACAAACACTTGAACACTTCGATGTAGCGATAGTCAACTTGGCGTCCCTGGAGAGACTGCAGCACCGCCCATTTTTTTTTACGGATTTAAAGGATATTTTATACTTCTTAAACTTTTCAGTCTTTTAAGGTCTTCTTCTAATAAACAGTATTTTCTTTTTATAGTGCATACTTTATATACCTAATTGAAATAAAAATTTATAAATTGTAAAAAATAAATTTAAATAGGTTTTTCTTTTCGAATCTCTGCAAGCCTCTTGCCCTTTTGTAAAGTTAAGGCCTTATATATTCTACTGCTAGGCCTCCTCTCATTTCTGAGATTTTAGGGCAAGGAAATAACCGCCACGCTCCCCCAATACGTGTTGGCGGACTTTTTACATTTCTTTAACATGCAGATTTCCTATGATGTATTCTTTCATAACCAAGCACGTGGTAAATAAGCTCTCAGCTGAGCCGATTCGAATGATTCTCTTTTTATTAAATAAGTTATGATTAGTAAGTATCACATGTATTTTTACAAATTTCAGTGAATAGGCTCACGTCTGGTAAGTAGATGCTCCGGCCGATGGACACCTATATATCTATAAAATCAAATTGCAAATCTGAAGGCACCTCTAATACTAATTTGAATGCCCCGTTACGGATAAAAAAGTCTTCTGGTCTTGCCACTAACCGTACTAAACATAGCAACATTAAACTGCTATATTAACATATTAATAATTTTTTTTTTTTTTTATAGAATAGGGTGACAAACGAGCACACAGTCCACCTGATGGTAAGTGGTTGCTGCGGCCCATAGACATCTACATCTATCCTCCATTAAAAATCAAAATGCAGATGCGTTGGCACCCGTGAGGACTGAGATGGAATGCCTCGTTTCCAGTAAAAAGGGTCTCCGGTTCTCTACACTCACCATACGAAATACAGCAGCATTAAGCTACTATTTCACGCTGGTATTCTGTGAGAGCGTGGTCCTTCCCCGGTCGAGCCGACCCATTCGTGCTACAACTATACTACTAATATAACTGCAGCATGGCTCTACCACGTATAAAATTAAAATTAAAAATTATAAAAATTATACGCTTCTTTATGTGAGAATATTAATACACATTCAGACACAATACTAGTACAGAAGACTAGGGCACACATGGGGCACACCGCGCTCGTCGGCGAGCGCGAGGTTGTATACACACCCCGTACACGAGGTTTAACAGTCGCAATACGGGGCCGTTTTTAATTACGACCCGTTTCCCCTCATTACGATTGTGGTTCAAGCCGAGGTTCGTACCTCCTTCAGAGGCTAGAGGAGCCCCTGGCTAGAGGAGCCTCACTCCAACAGCAGGGCTGGGATGCCCTGGAATCATTAGTTAAAGAGGGCGCAAACATTTTTTATTTAGAAGTTTTTGTAAAATGTAAATTATTTTCTGCTTTTTTTTAATTTCTTCTAAGGACTATAATGTAATGACTAGTTACCAGTAAAAAAAACTCTCCGGTTCTCTAAACTTATCATACGAAACACCACAATCTGAAATTTTAGGCTGGTACTCTGTGGGAGCATGGTCCTCCTCCGGTCGGGCATAAACATTTTCTCGAGAATTCATCTATATTTAAGGAAAAAATTTAACTCTAGCGCCCAGTAAGTCAGTTTTGAGTCACCAATGTGGAAGCATTCATTGTTCAGCAAGTGGAATGCCAATTGTAACCCACTGATGCCATTTTGTTCTACGGTCACATCGTCAAAGCACTGACCCAGTGACGAAAACACGCAACGTGAGGATATCGGATTCGTTATCTGGCTAAAAAGCATTTTCTTTTTTTTATATATATAATATAATAACATAATAGCAAAACATTAGCCGAAAAACTAATAGCAAATATTCACGTACAGTGAAAGAGGTTTTTGACTTTTAAAGTGTGGTAAAATAAGAATTTTGAAAAATCGACTTCAATATAAATACAATTAGAATATCATTACTATAGTCCAAGTCATTTAAATACGCATTATTAATGATAACTCAAAAACTATTTACCAGATATTGATTAAATTTATTAGGAATCACATGAGATGCAACGGCTTTTAAATTATAGAAAGAACAATCATAATCGGTTTATCTAGAAAAAGTTGTGAAAAAAGTGAGTACCTCTTACTTTTTGAAGTCGGGTAAAAGTTTTAACCGTTTTTAAAAGCCACAAAGTGCAGTATTTATGCCGTGCGTGTAACCATAATATTTCACTTCAATAAAATTATATTAGCATATGAGCAAAGAAAATTATGACAGTTCTGTTCGCCTTGTACCACGAAACGTTTGTTTTATTTTTGACAACAATAAAAACATAGGTGAAACTGTATAGATACATGTTAAATTAATGTAAAAGTGTGCTAATAATTAATGATTGTATTTTTTTTGTACAATTACAATCATGCTACGTTTCTTTTTGCTGAAGTTACGTATCGTTTTTTGATATCATTTAAAGAAAGAAATATGCGTCGCATATATAATAGTACCACGGAGTCTGCAGCCATTTGGACATAGTCGATCAGTAAGTCTGTGTCGGCATTACCGCTATGGGACCTATAGAGGCACCCGTAGACGCGGGGATGGTCGTCGCTGTCTACGCGCAGCCATAAGATAGATAGAAGAGAAGATAGGTCCGTACCTTAAAGGCTGCCGAGGCGTCGAAAACAGATGTCCTCTCTGACGTACACGCAAATTCCAAGCCGGAACACAAAGGAGTGTTCTAATTTGTACCACTGGTAGGAGAGATATGAAATATCAGCCGGAGAAGACACCTGTGCCTCGGTTAGAAAGAGCAAGGCCAGCTTCGCCGTTTGTAGATGGTAGTAGACGACGTTAAGGTTAGTGAATGTCATGAAATGTCATGAAGCCCCCCCCCCCCCCCCCCCCTTCGGCAGAATACGAGTAGCAGCCGTAGCACCCACGCTCAGGAAAAGTAGGGGAGTTGGGGCGTGGATGCTCAGCGAGGTATTCTTCGGTACCGGGGGTACTGGTACCCTCCTATGGTATTGTTATATTTAACTCCGCTACCGTGTTAATTAGGGGAGGAATTGGGCCTCCGGTCACCTGAACTCAACTGATGAAATGCAAAAGCAAAGCTTCTACTTTACGCTGGTCTTCTATGAGATCATGGTACCACCCGGTTTTGAGCCGACCCATAGGAGGTGATTGCCATGCTGGTTCTATAAAAATTCATTTAAAATTTTACGAAATATGTTTAAAAAAGTCTAGCTGGGTTTCTTGCCGGTTCTTCCCAGAACAGAGTACAGACGATTATAGTACTAGGAGAATCTAACCGCAAATTCTGACGCCCGTTATCCGCCTATATGTTCGGATTCTAGCAGCCATTCAACTGAGTATTTGTAAATTTTTCATTAGTTCAAATTACGCGCGGGTATAATATATATGTATATTAATATATATATATATATATATATATATATATATGTATATATATATATACATAAATTGTTAATGAATTAGGACGAGGATATAAAAGAATTATAATAAAGAAAAATGTTATTATGTTAAGCTATTGCATAGCTTCTATCGCGGGCCTTGAGCGCGGGGACCGAATCCAGAAATTCCGTAACGAAAAAACCTCACGCTCCCCACTCCGACGGGCACGGAGGTGTGGCGTTGAAAGCCGTGCATCGTCTAACGTCGTTTCAGTTCGGCAGACTTCGGCACTCGGCAGAGTTCGGCACGGTGTTTGTGTGCGTGCGACTAGACGTATGCGTGTACACTAGCTGCTAACTCAATGATAAAAATTCCTGAATAACCTACATGTATTGTAAGATATTAAAAATATTTTAAACAATATTAACTTCTCATTTATTCAATAAGAGAAAAAAAATTGTTTTCTTATCGGTCACCACGCTCAAAAAGTGTAACTTGATTTAATATCAAGGACTTAACTGCATAAATAAAATAAATAAATAATTATAGTTGCATAAGTTGATAAAAAATGCTATGCAATAGCTTTACCGCGGCAGTCACCGAGTGCCACACGTATTTTTTTTATTATATTAAATCACTTCGTAACGTATGAAACCTTTTAATTATTTTGTTATAACCTACTCTGATGTAATAAAAAGCCTCGGTAGTTCAGTGGTTAAGCGCACACAGTAAATTTTACAGTACGCGAGCATATCAGGTTCGATTTCCGTCGGCACCGATGATTTTGTTCATTGCAATTTGAAAAACAATTTTGCGCATCAAAAATTTTGTTGCATCGAGACGATCGTCAACAACGTCTGCCCGCATGTGTCAGACGTATCTGCCCGTTTGGGTTAGTATCGCTCGATACGAGGCCCGTCGCCGCCTCGTCCAAGTTCAAGCTCACGCATTCACGCTCGCGGTGGTCAGAGCAGACGTACGTAGCCTATCAAACCTCTTTATTTGGTTTGGCACGGACTTCAAATAGATGAGTAGATTTATAGTCCCTATAAAATTATTTTATTTAAATTAATAAGTACCTAACATGTACACTAGAGTGCACGCGCGCTCTACTATGGTAGAACACACTCACTCATTTTGGCGCCATTCATTCATTTTTACTCCTGAGCCCCTGCGCTCCTTGTTAAGCCTCGTCGACAAAATCACGGAAAGGATTAGTACGGCGCACACCTGCAGCATAAGCGCATGTTTCCGTAATTAGGTGTCAAAGTTCAGCTTCTACAATTGTAATACGTGCGAGTATTGACGTAATAAAACTGAATGTAAGTAAATTTATTATTTTGTGACTTTTTTACTTTACAATGTATTAAATTTGAAGGTTTATTTTTTGACAATGGAACAATAACTATACTATTTGCAGTTCAGCATGTTAGTGTGTACTTAATAATTATTATTACTTTGTTTCAGCGAAATAAATGGATCCACACTTAGAATCTCGCTTGAGCCAGTGGTTGCACGAAAAACAGGATGATGAAGAAGTGATTCAAAGTGAATCTGATGATGGGGAAGATGGAGTACTACCAATGCAACAGGAAGACCTGGTACAGGAAGCCGTAAACGAAAACCATGCGTCATCGTCTGAAGATGACATGCCTCTTTCTGAAATCGTTCAGAACAATACACGAGACGATGTTTATGTATCTAGAAATGGAACACGGTGGAGTAAAACATGTATACTGCATCAATACGGGTAAGATCTCAAAACATCCGGTTTAGACCTCCAGGCCCAAAGGGTGCTGCAAGAAACGCTGAAACGCCATTATCTTGTTTCGATCTATTTTTTGATGCGAATATTTTCGATATCCTTGTTACTTGCACGAATATTTACATCGATAAAATACAGAACCGTTACCAGAGAGAGAGAGAAATGCAAAGAGAACTGATTTGGTTGAAATGAAAGCGCTAATTGGATTGTTACTAGGCATAGGAGTCTCGCATTCAGGTCGTCGTAATCTCAATGACTTCTGGGACAATCCCAAAGGTACAGGGCTGCAGATCGTATACTGCACTATGTCTAAAAACCGATTCGGGTTTCTTTTACGTGCCCTTCGATTTGATGATGTAAATGACAGAAAAGAACGACGTTGCCTTGATAAATTGGCACCCATTCGAGCAATCACACAATAGATGGTAAAGAACTGCCTCGATAATTTTACCCCCAGCAATTATCTTACGATTGATGAACAGCTAGTGGGATTTAGGGGACGATGTAGATTTATCATGTATATCCCAAACAAACCAGACAAATTTGGTATAAAAATATACATGGTGGTTGACACAAAGTACCCTTATATGTACAACTTGGAGGTTTACGCCGGGGCTCAGCCAGAAGGGCCGTTCCATCAATCCAATAAAGTAAACGATGTTGTTCTCCGTGTTCTCGAGACACTTTTCAATCTGGGATTCAACGTGACTATGGACAACTATTTTACGAGTCTGCCTACAAGCTTGGAGTTACTAAAAAAAGGATTACAATCGTGGGCACACTGAAAGCTACAACAGGCCGGAGTTACCCAATGAGTTCAAAAAATCGAGGAACAGGGCCTCAAAGAGCAGTGTTTTTGGGTTTAAGCCAAACTGCACATTAGTCTCATATGTGCCTAAGCAAAAAAAAATCTGTCGCATTACTTTCTACAATGATTATATAGATCCAGAAACCAATGATGACCGTAAACCGGAAATAATCACTTGTTATAACCGTACTAAGTGTGGCGTGGATATTCTCGACAAAATGTGTAAGCAGTACAGCGTTTGCGAAACTCCCGACGATGGCCGTTAACACTTTTTTTCAATTATTTGAATATAACTGGAATAAATGCCTTGATTATCCATCAACTAAATAAGGGCCAGGAAAAGATTGTGAGACGCAATTTCCTCTACGGTCTTTCGTACGAGCTGGTAAAATCTCTCATGGCAAGAAGATTGACATTTGAAAACCTCGCCAGAGAATTAAAAAATAAAACAAAATGGCTTCTGGGGCATACAGATGAGGAGCCTCGCAATGAACCTCAAAGAATGAGAAGAGTAGGCAAATGTTGCCTGTTTTCTCGAGCCCGAAATCGGTCCACGAAAAAGTGGTATAAACGATGTGCCAGGTGGATTTGTCCTGATCACCAAGTTGTGGTCTGTATCGAATGCGAGGATGGCGACCAATAAGACAGTCACCTATTATTAGAAGTAATTTGTTTTGAGCTGATCTCAAACATTCAAAAAATGTTGATTATTTTGTTGATCTCTTAAATTGTTCCTAAGTTAAGTATATTCTATTAAAACTCAGATTTTTTGCAATAACTGTGTGTTATTATAAATAAAGAACCAATATTATGCCGATTTATCATTTTAAAACCACCCGCTTTTTAGATATTTACAATATTGTTTTCTACCAGGGTAGAGCATGCGAGCATCCATGTAAAAAAAAGGGGTGCGTGCACTGTAGTGTTAAAACCGAATTGTAATTGTGTAAATAAATAATCTTAATTTGTAAATAAATAGATTTATTGATAAATTAATAGGTATTGTATAAAGGTTGAAATAATACTAGTTTTTACGGAATTTATCGCGTATATTTAACTTTTTTAACTTTTTCAAATACCCGACGTTTCGAACGCTTTACAGCACTCATGGTCACGGGCAGGACTGAGATGTTCAACGTCCATATGTCATAGTTAACCGCGGTTACCATAGATTAAAATTTTAACTTTTGTTCCGATCTATGCAGTATGAACTTATGGTATCTTGAAGTCTTGCAGTTGTATGCTTGGGTTTGGATCTAATTTTATTTATTATAGGATCCCAAGCAGATGGTAGCACCCAGCCATCTTCTCTATTCAAATTACGACGTTTTTTGATTTCAATAGCCTCGCGAATCATCCTTGGAAGGAATCGGTGTTCTTTAGCGAGGATCTGCGGTCTATCAAATCTGAGGTAGTCCCGGGGGCGATCCTGTACGTGTACACAGACTGCAGACTTCCCGGAGCGTCTTCTTCAAGATACCATAAGTTCATACTGCATAGATCGGAACAAAAGTTAAAATTTTAATCTATGGTAACCGCGGTTAACTATGACATATGGACGTTGAACATCTCAGTCCTGCCCGTGACCATGAGTGCTGTAAAGCGTTCGAAACGTCGGGTATTTAAAAAAGTTAAAAAAGTTAAATATACGCGATAAATTCCGTAAAAACTAGTATTATTTCAATGTGTAGTGTTCGCGTAAATATAAGAAATCATTATTGTATAAAGGTATTTATAGAATAATATTTCAAATAGTTATAAGTAGGTAGTTTTATAAGTCAAGTTTTTCGTTTATTTAGTTATTGTAAAAATTTTGTATGTAGGTAAGTACGTTACTATAAGCGTAATTGGACATCCAATAAAAAGAGTCTTGTGCGCATTTTTCTTGTCTGAATTAAATATATAATCAAGTTTATTTTTCACTTTTTTAGTGCAGTAAGTAGTCCATTTTTGTTTCGAAGTTGGTTTAATTTTTTTTATAAAGTTTGTTTATGATTTGTAGAAATAAGAAATAAAGAAGAAAATTACATTTTTTCACATCACACACTTTCATAAAAAACGACAATTTCATAGGTAAAGACCTAATATTTATATACGTTGACTTTTTTAATCCCCCCAGTTTTCATAAATTATATATCAAGTTAGAGTATCAAAGTAAGATCAAATACAGCTACTTATGCTAGTACTCGTTAACCTAGTGTATTTATTCAATTCAAACTTTGGCAATATCGGTGCAACTTAGTTGCAGACTATACTCCAATGTTCCGATAAGTCAGTCCTAATAAGAACAATACAAGTATATACTGACTGTATCGATATTAGGAAATTTATTAAACATTTTATTTAGTGTTTAGAAATATCAAGCAAAGGCGTAAGTATTTCGTCACACTTAATTGATTTTATACCTAATATATAATATATATTATGGTGTCAATCTCATTTATTCTAATAAATTATTAATCATTTGTTTGTGCTCACTGAAGTGAGTAATCTGTAAAAGAATGACTTTGCATTTTTGTTTTTAATGTAAAAGTCAGTAGTTCTGTCACTAGTTCTGTGCCTATTACCACGTATAAGTGTTACATTGGTCACGTAATGGTAGGATTGCATATCCTCCTGCTAGATAATATTAAGACGCTAAATATGTGGTCGATATCTATAAGGACAACATGCATAGAGTCTCGCATGTAATCCTCGAGTTAGTAGGCAGAGTCCAAGGAACACCAAACGAGAGAGGGTATGGCTAGAAAAATGTGAAAGAAATGATAGATGCCTAGCCTACATCCTACACAATCACGACGTGCTACGCCATGGATAGCGCATTCTTTTTAGGTTTATTAAATGCTATTAATATTAGTTTTAAGTTGCAGACAAACATGGGCATAACAGGAGGATATCATCATAATAAGCAATTAATTTCTCTCAGATTCATTAAGATGTAGAAGTCAGCTAAACAAAAAGCTTCTTACATCTTCTAAGAAAATGCTATTTTATACGTGGTAGAGCCACCCTGCAACTAAAATATGGTGGTGGTATAATATGGCACGAATAGGTCGGCTCGACCAGGGAAGGACCACGCTCTCACAGAATACTAGCGTAAAATAGCAGCTTACTACTGCTGTTTCGTGTGGTGAGAGTAGAGATCCGGAGACTTAGTCTGGGTCTTAGTCCTCAGGGCTGACAACGCATCTGCATTTTGAGGATATATTGAGGATTAATGTAGATTTCTGTGGGCCACAGCAGCCACTTACTATCAGCTGGGCTGTGTGTACTTTTGTTACCCTTATTCTATATTAAAATATATTTACAATTATATTCATTTAAAGAAGCCAATAGTAGGGCTATCTACTGTGTCATGGTTGCGCTTTATTTGCATAAATTTCACAAGTATGTATATGTATATATACATAAGTTAAAGTGTATACATAAAGTAATTGTGTGAGAGATAGTGTCATTCAAAATTCCTTTCAAAGTTAAAGCAACAACGCAACGAATGTGTGCATAAGCGGCCTATAATTACGTTAGCCCACACGCACACAAGCAAAAAATGGGGAAATTGTAATAGTAGACATAGTCACAGAATTAATATTTAGATTGCGTTTAGAATTATTTATTAATTATTTGCAATGAGATAAATGTAAAATTACTTATATTTGTTAATAATATTTTATTTAAATTATTTATATACGTAATGTCTTGTGCTATAATATATATTCACAATTCTATTATGTAGTAGTATATTATTCTCTTAGAAGTGATATATGTATATAAGTAAATTGCCTTATATATTAATAAAGATATATAATATACTTTATATAGTATATTATATAATATACTTTATTAGATTTATAGAATGGGGATTTAGTATTAAAACGATATAAGATTCGGAAGGAGAAAAGCTTTTCACAAAAAAAAAGAAATTAAAAATAATTCTTAAATAACTATATACCCAAGTACTTAATTATGCGTAAATATTGTAGGTATTTTATGTGACAAATTTAAAAGAAAACAATAAGAGTCCCATATTCGCAGTATGTAATTATAATAATAAGAAAATACGGGGTAAAATATGCCTAGCAATATTTTCATCATATTGGCGTCTGTCAAATTTACGATTAATTAGTAATTAACTAATTAGGCAGTACTGACCCGTGAAATGAGATTTTTGCATGATTATGTGA